TATATACACAGAGAAAATCATTTCTTTCAAAGCTTGATTCCTTTTTTGTTGCCATATATATCATACAATAAATGCAATAAACTGAGTAACGAAGGGAAAAGACAGTGACGCCAAACCTTTCTGGGTGGATGTGTAGTGAGACTTCCATTTTATTGAGACCTTTCATGGAAGGGAATCAATTTAAAAAGTTTCAATATTGTAACATTGCTGTTGTAACTATAAAAGTTTCTGAAATGCACCCAAGTTTTCTTAGAAAGAGTTGGATTTATGAATTCTATACTGGAAGACAACTTGCAAATATAAATAATATTAATGCTCCCCATAAGAGAAACGAATCACAACACTATGATACGGTAACTAAGACAAAAGAAGCCTGGGGCTTTGTGTAATGATGGTGCTTTCTGCTTGTATAATTTCCTTGATAGTTTGGCTGCATCTCATGAAATATAATCACATGCTCAGGAACTCTGGGAACACAATTCTATCACAGTCTTGTAATTAGATACCAACATATAAGCTTTGTGAGTCAGTCTAAAGGCTTTATTGTAGGGTGGCTTCTCTTGGTTAGGCACTCTGGGGAAGACGCAAAGTGCAATTTAAAAGTATGTAACAAGGGTTAGACTTGAGAAATGAGGAGTGTTCACTTGCAACTGAAATCCCAAAGGTATTTTGGCATTGGACAAAAGCAGATTGCTCTCAAAATGACTTCCATGAAATTCTTGAGTTCATCGATGAATGTAGAGATGTGGAAGCAGGGCATACTGTCAATACCCTGACATAGCTTGAAATTAAGACGCTTAATTAAGCAAATGTGTCTGCAGCTTCAGCGTTACTGAAACTTTACATTATGCTCTTGCAAATCAGTCATTAAATTTCATGAGTTTCTTTTTTTTTTTGAAGTTTAAGAAGTGCTGTTGAATATGATATGACAACTTTAACATAAAAGTAAGTCTCAGCTGTGTTCTGAAAGCTGCACCAGTTCTGTCATTGCTCAGAGTTTCTGGAAGTGGAGGGGAAGGAAAACAGTGAAGTGAATAAAGCTGGTTCTGGACTGTCCCTGTTCCTGATGTAGACATGAATGAATAGTAACATTCCGGGTCACTCTCAGCAGTCCTATTGCTTGTGAGGCAGAGAAGTGATATCAGAGACTTCAGGCTTATGGAAAGAAAAATGGCTAACTTGGTAATATGCTCCACTGCAAAGAAGGAACCTGAAATGGGCACTGTGGGCTGGGAGAGACAATTTCAAGATAGGCATAGAAAAACTCGGGGAGGAAGGAAAATGAGCTTCTTAAGAAATGCCATAAATTAACAGTCCTTCCTATGACCAAAAAGAAAACTAGTAACCATAGAAAAAATACTACAACTCTGAAATAGGGTGTGTGTGGGTAGTACTGCTGGCTGAATGACTTAGACTGGTAAGTTATTCTGAAGGCCTCCGTGAAGGTTTCTTGAGAGCTGTTCTTAGATTTCTTTCTTCTCTTTCCAAGAACCATCTGAGAAAAGTCAGGAATTGTGAAATTGCAGAGTGTAGTGTCAAACAATGACTTAAAAACGATTCTCACTGCTTCAGAATCTAGAAATGTAGCAAGTATCTGAAACATTTTCAAATACAGTTGTGATCCCAGCAGATGAGCTTGTCCTGAGAAGCACCGCCGGCCTTCCAGGGGGAATGCTGCTGCTGCGCTCTGTTCTTTAGTCCTTGGGTAGAACTGGCTGCCTGCAGCAAAGAGAAGAGGCAGCTCGGCCGCAGGACTGCCGGCATCATTCACTGCCCTGGCAGCACGCCGAGCACTGGCTCACGTTTACTCTGCCGCCCAGGTGCAGTGATGCAGGGCGGGCGCACGGCACTCTAGTCCTGTTTTTCACCGATGTTGGGTCTCCCCCAGCAGTGGTGCTCACCTGAGGAGTCCCTTGGTTTCCCTACTATAACTCAGGTGCAGTTAGGGTCACCTCTTCCCAGGATGAGGCTCACAGGCTTCAAACTATAGCTAAGCTCTCTGAGTTACAATCCCAGTTGACTAACCCAAGATCGTGTGTCAAGTTTGACGTTCCTGAGCTTTTTCTTAGCCTCGGATGTCCCAAACCTTCTTTTCTCTCTCACCCTGGAAGAGCTCCTGAGTCATCTTTTGTCTGCCTCGCTGTCTCTCACGTAGCTCCTGACCGGCTTCCTTGCCTCTTCCCTTAGTACCTCGCCCAGTTCTGTCCCTTCTATTGCAACTCACTGTGAAGCGTCATGTTGTGCCCTACTAGTTAACTGTCAGTGGGAGCCTACTTTCTGATTAAAGGGGCTTCCCTGGTCTCCTGGATCCATCTTATGTCCTTTCTTGGCAAGATTCTCACCTATGAGCACTACCTTTTCATCTGAATGCCCTTTTGCAGTCTTGTATTTTTTGTTGAGTTCAAGTCATGTTGCCTAGTCTAGCCTCAAATATATGCACTCAAGTGATCTTCCTGCCTCAGCCTCCCTAGTATCCAAGAATAGCAAGCATGTGTCACTACACCTGGCTTCCCTTGTCTTTTATATTAACTTAAGCCCTCCCTAATGTCTTGGGCAGCTGACCATTCCATCTTCCACCTTTCTGTGTTACTGTGTGTGTATGTGTGTGTCTGATAATAATTTTTTGGGGGGGTACAAGGGATCGAATTCACGACCTAATGCTTGCCAGGCAGACACTTATGTTGCTGAGCTAAATCCCCAGTCCCTATAGTCAGTAATTTGTTTACATGTCTATCCTTTGTCTGGTGGGCTTCTTGAAAGACAGGCAGTGTATTTTCTGTTTATGTATCTATCACACTGCCCAATATTCTAAATCCTTAAACAAAGTTTTGTTGAAAGAATTAATGAGCCGAAATACATGTTTGCTGTAGGTAGGATTTTCCCAGATGGCCTCCATCCACTTATTTAATGGAGCAGACATAATGCTTCGTCCCCTTCTCACAGTTTTTTAGGACATCTCCAGCTGTAGTTTGCAGGCTCCAAGGTCTCGGTGGTAAAGCTTACTCCCTGGGGTGTCCAGGAGGTGGGACATAATGGAGGCCTTCAGGTCCTTGGGGAGGTGCTCCTGAAGGGGACTGTAAGACCCCAACTCCTTCCTCCTCCTCTCTTTGGCCCCTTGCATGGGAGCAGTTTGGCTCTGCCTTGCACTCTTGCTGTGATGTGCTGCCACGGGCCTCAGGCACCAGGGCAGCCAGTCATGGACTGAAATCTTTAAAGTTGAACTGAAATAAGCCTTTTCTCTTGATTGTCTCATAATAGTTTTAACCAGAAGCCAACACATTTGCATACCTTCTATTATTAGACATATCTCAGTGAAACACCTTCGGAAGGTCCTTTTGTACTCCGTCATCTCTCATCAGCCCCGAGTGCTGAAGTATCCTACAACCTTGAGAAGTTTCAAAGGCCTTACTTGGCATTCATTTGTTGTGAAAAGATACCCTTTTATATGTGCTTTCTTTTTGTATTATTTCCTTATAAATATTCCTAAAGGTACCTTTTCTAGAAAGCACTTATTACACAGCCAATTCTCATGTAAGGCAGTTTGTTTCCGAGAGGTGTGCAAGATCCACATAGACATGAGTCTGTTGGTGGTTGTACAGAATGTGAGTTACTCAGCGATGGTGCTGAAACTTGTATTAAGTGTTCACTCTGAGCAAGGCACTGTACAGAGTGTTTTTATGTTCATTATATTATCTATTTTATATATTATCTCTGTTGTGGTCATTACAGAAACCAAAGACAAAAGAGTAATTTTTGCAAAAAATTAGAGATAGTAAGGGATACCTAATAATTAAATCCTCTGATTCCAGAGCACATAATCCTAATACCTGAATACTGAATACTGAAAAAAATAAAACTGCTTTTGCTTGCTGTGAGAACAGATGCTGAAAATTGAAACTGGAAAACATTCTACTTGTTAATTGCATGAACACAGCTATCTGCTAGTTTTCTCTGTAGGTTATGGGCTCTGTTTTGTTTTTGTTTTTGTTTTAAATTCCCAACTCCTACGTTTAGAAGGCTGCAACTTTTTTTTTGTCTTTTTCGTTTTTTTATTGGTACCAGGGATCGAACTCACGACTGCCTGCTTGCAAGGCAGGCGCTTATGCCGCTGAGCTAAATCCCCAGCCCTGCAACTTCTTTATATCATGAATTTAATACGTAGAGCTTTCTCATCTAGAAATAGTGATGACAGCCTTTCTCCTGCCTCTGACTGTTAGCAGCTCCTGGAAATATTGGTTGGTATTTGACAAAGTTTTATTTTGTTTAGACTACAGAGGAAGAGCCAGGGATTTAGCTTGTGGTTCAAGTGCTTACATGATAAATGCAAGGTTGGGAGTTTGATCCCCAGTACAAAAAAAAAAAAAAAAAAAAAAAGAACATAGACTACAGAGGAAAATTGTTACAAAACCCACAGTCATTTGTGCTTTTCTTGGTGTCACAGTGCTTTGTGTAAAGTAGAAATTTTCATTTAAAATGTATATTCTATGGTAACACACACAGAAACAACCTGACTTCAGGGCCCTTGTGCTTTGAAATCCTAATGAGGATAGTACCAAGTGCTTCTGTATGCAAGTTTCATTAACTGAGAAGTTACCTTTCTCCTAGCAATGGCATGTTTTTTCAAATTAAGGACAAAAGCTTGCTTGAAAGCTGAGTAATATTTTGAAAATCAGGAAATACTGTATAACATAAGGCAATTATAAAACCATGTAGAAGATTTTCTGATTGGAGAATTATAATCATAATGGTGTCTGGTAGTCAAGGTAACCAAATAGGTAAGATTAGATGAAATTACTATTGAGTTGGGCTAGGCTTCTCTTTGCCAAAGCTGGACATTGCAATTTAGACCCACCAGGTAATTAAATACCTTGGGACAATTAGACTTTTTTTTGAGGTCATCTGGTTAGATGACTGATTTAAAATGAGAAACAAATTTGGGTGAAACATTATCAATGTCTCTGTTCAGTTAGAAGATGTGAAGAGACCTTTTTCTTTTTCAGCCTTGCCTTACACCCCAACAAAACTTTGATTGCAACTGGCCAGGTTGGGAAGGAGCCGTATATATGCATATGGGATTCTTACAATGTTCAGACTGTGTCTATTCTTAAGGATGTCCATACGCACGGAGTTGCCTGCCTGGCTTTTGACTCAGATGGACAGGTGTGTATCTTTCTTTGATTGTTTCTTTAATGATTTGTTTTACGGTCCACCTAAAATTGTAATGTAAATAACCACCCAGTTTTGATGGCCAGCTTGGCAGCTTCCGTGAATCCCTCACCTTTTCCAAGCTGGGCTCCAGTTTCAGTCCCCCTGGTCCCGCTATCTAGATTAAAAAACCTCCGTTATTGAAGTTACAAACTCATGAAACTAGGTCCACCGTGGTTCAAAAATCCGTTTTGTTACCCACTGCTAGTTTCTCACTTGTAACTGTGGCTGCTGCAAGCCATTTTCACAGACCTCAAGCATTATTTATTGTTCCTTGCTTTCTGAAGCTAACATCACCTGCTAATAATCCACTGGAAAGTTTCTCTTTGATTCTTTACCTTGAGGTTGCTTTAAAACCTCCCTCCTTCCAATTCAAATAATGATTCCTGTGAATTTGTAAGTTGGAATTTATCCTGTCCATCCCATTCTCTGAGCCACTGTTTTTTAATTTCCCAGATAGATCCATGCTTGGCTTATTTTAAATAACTTCTTTTTTTTTTTTTTTATCTGTACCAGGGATAGAACTCACGACTTCCTGCTTGCAAGGCAGGTGCTTATGCCGCTGAGCTAAATCCCCAGCCCCTTAAATAACTTCTTAACTAGTCTCTTTAATAGTCCATTTCTTGTTAATGTATTTCACCAACTGAGAGAAGCATCAAAATATTTTTAAAACCAACAATCTTGAAGCATCACTGAAAGAAGTTTACGCTTTATACATGGCCATTCTAGGATAACAGCTTTTCTAGCCGTGTCTCCACAGTTGCCATGGAGAGCAACTGGAGGCACGAGGGAGATCCCTCTCTCAGATCTTGCATCTTTGCACCTCCATGTCCATTGTCATGCTGGTCTCATCTGAAGAGCCCTGCTTACAAGCTTTGCCCTCGAGGTACTTTAGACATCTTCATGAAAGCATTGTAAACTCACAATGAAGTTCTCTGCCCTTCCTTGGACAGCCACATTTTGAGGCCAGTCTGTGTTACATAGTGACTTCGAGGCCAAACTGCACCACAAAGAAAGACCCTGTCTCAAAAAAGATCAAGACCAAATGAAACCAAAATACGAGTCCTTTGTCCATGTTATATTGAGTTAGAATTCAGCCGTTCTCCAGGTTCCATTTCGCAGGGTAGGTTCAGGAAGTGGACTGTGTGGTACTTAACTGTTAGGAGAAATAACCACCCATTCGATTGCCATGGTGGATTTCATGGCTTGTTGATATCTTTTGCTTCAGGTTTGCAGTAATTCCTAGACAGAGTTTAGTGGAATCAAATGATATTTAGAAAATGACAAATGGCCCATTACCTTGTAATTGACAGAAGGCATTTGAAAGATTTCTAAAGGTATCAATGAAGCCTGTCACTACGAATGAAAAATAGATTTCTTTTGGCCTTTTGTCACTCAAGAAATGAATTTTACTTTAACCCATATTTGTTATTCTTTTTTGTATTTAAAAAACAACCTGAAGGGGCTGGGGCTTTAGCTCAGCGGCATAAGCACCTGCCTTGTAAGCAGGTGGTCATGAGTTCAATCCCCGGTACCGATAAAAATGAAAAAGACAAAAAAAAAAAAAAAAAAAAACAACCTGAATGAAATTCGTCTACTCTAATTTTCTTACATGGCTAAAATTTTAACTAAAATCTTAATGTGAAGAGTGGCTTCCACTCACTTACCAGTGCTTTCATGGAAGTTTAGATGTATGTTTTTGTGTTTAAAAAGAACAAATGAACATTGGCTTTTATGTCTACATTTTGTCATAGTCTAACAGAAGTCATTAATTGTGGTATCTTTAGTTGTGGGTTTCAGATAGATTTTGAGAATCAGTTTTTCCAAAAGAAACCCAACACTTAGCTATGGTAGGTAATCAGTAACTATTGTTGAATGTAAGCATGAATAATAGGAAATCTTCTCAACACTTTCAGGTGTTATTATTCTTTTTCTTAGCGTTTAGCCTCTGTGGGATTAGATGCCAAAAACACAGTCTGCATCTGGGACTGGAGAAAGGGAAAACTTCTGGCTTCCGCCACTGGCCATTCTGATCGGGTAAGACCTTTTTTAAGTCAAACTGTACAGGTTTTAGGACTGTGAAGTAATTGTGATACCACTTTTCAGACTTGTGTACTTTTAAAAGTAAATTTTCCATGTAAGGATTTTTTTCCTTTATGTTCAACTTTGAGTGAACCATTTCTTTTACAAATTGAAAATTGCTGGGGGATCTCAAAAAGATGACAGATAGATAAACAGCAGAATACAGAGGCTCCCTGAGACAGACAACTCAGATGCCAGGATAAAATACCATGGAGAGGTGCAGACAGAGGGAGATGGATCCTCTCGACCCAGGAAGAAACTAAAGGGAAAAGAGCTGGTCAAACATGCAGTTCCAGGGCTACCATTGGAGCAGCTAAGATTAGCGGCCAGGGTGCTCTCACTGTGGTGCCCAAACTCATGTGGCCACGACTCCCTGAGCTGCCCAAACTCTCGCTGCTTCAACTGAGCTGATGGAACTCCCCCCCCCCATGGAACTCGTTGGAACCGTGGATGCACTGAAGTCACAAGTCGGCGAGCCCAAGGGAGAACAGAGCCGGCAAGGGACCTGCGTTACCTGCAGTGAGTGCTAGGAATTAGACCCTCCCATGGAAAAGGGGTGACCAACTGGACCACATGTTGGAATTGGGCAAGACTGGCAGGAACAAGGAACAGCAGTTATCCCAGACCAAATTGGTGGGATATCCTTGGCCTGGGTCCCGCCTCCGGCCAGGATCTAATAAATCACTCCAAACCAATTCCTTACATGTGGTCCACACTAACGCAGTGAAGGCTCCCACAGGTTGATTGACCCAGAGCGGAGGAGCCAGCATAGGCTGCCCCTGTTTGAACCTCAGTGACCAATATCAAACTGGAAAGGGCAGAAAATCCTAGCAGTGCACTTCAGAAGAACCATAACCAATAAGGAAAGGGGCTCGGACCTCCTCTATACACCTATTTGGAAGAAACCAAAAACATGACAAGAGAAAGAAACAAGAAAAAGTCCCCAGCCCCCAGCCCTGAGAACGTTGATACATGAGAGGTAAACACAAAAGAGGCTCCTGAGGGCAGCAAACATGCAATATCAGACACAGCACCAGTGGACATAAAGAGATATCTTCAGGACCTCATAGATGAGCTCAAAAGTGAAATATTTAATCAAGTAAAGCAAGATATAAGTAGATTAATAAAAGAAATGCTAAGCACCTCTCAAGAAAACAGAGATGGAAGAATGGAGGAACACAAAAAAAGGAGAGAAACATCTGATGAAGAATATAAAGAAGACCTAGAGTACATGAAGCAGGTTCAAAGAGATTTACCAGGAAATAAAAAACTCCATTGAAAGCTGGCAAAACTGTTTGAAAGAAACTAAAGATATACTATCAAAACTTGAAGACAGGTTTGCAATGTGTGATCGTGAAAGGAAAAATCTCTTAAAATTAACAAAGAAACAGGCAGTAACAATACAAAAGCTAGAAGACGACAAAGAAGATCTATAACTTAAGAATAAAGAATGTAAATGAAGAAGCAGGAATAAAAACAAAGGAAATACAAGGGCTATTCACAGAAATAATTAAACTTCCAAAGCATAGGAAAAGGAAATGATATTCAGATGTATGAGGTATACAGAACTCCAGACACCTACAACCAAAACAGAGCTACACCCAGGCATATAATAATCAAGATCCCAGAAATTCAGTAGAAGAACAGAATATTAAAAGCCATCAGAGAAAAGAAACAGGTTGCCTATAAAGGAAAACTCATCAAAATCACGGCAGACTTCTTGACACAGACCATCAAATCAAGAAGAGCTTGAAGCGAAGTATTCCAAGCCCTGAAAGAAAATAACCTCCAGCCCAGATTGATAGATCCTGAAAAACTGTCTCCAGAAATTAATGGAGAAACAAGATGCTTCCAAGACAAAGAGGAACTGGGGGAATTCGCAACCACCAATCCAACTCTACAGAGAATACTGAAAGACATTCTAGAGAGAGAAGTACCAGGATTTCAGGAACAGTGGCAGAGAGGCCTCAATGAATGGAGCAGAAAGTGGAATGAAGGAGAAAAGCAGACAACTAATGGCAGAAAAATAGCACAACAGAAATGATGCAGACAAGGTTGGCTATAATCTCTAGTATAGATGGCCTTGATACCCTAAAAAAAAAATAAGAAAAGAAAAAAAGAAACACAGGCAGGGTGGATCAGGAGGACAGGGTCCACTGAGATACTCTATATAGGAAATATAATTAACCTGAAAAAGGGTTTACAGACCGAAAATCAAATATGAGAAAATGCTCTATGTGACAGGGAACTAGAGAGTAATAGGGGCAACTAGACCCCACCTGCAGATAGGTTGGAAAGACAGGTTTTGTAGGTAAAGGAATACAACTTGAGATTAAGTCCAGGAGGAGAAGGTTCGGAACCACTTAGGTAAATAGCAGGTTGCTCCCTCAATCTACAAACTGAGGGAGTTGGTGGAACTCAAAAATGCACAGTGCACCCTGTGGGAGTGAAAGGGGAGAAATAATCTAAAAAAAGAAGGCAGAGGATATTGTTAATAGTGTATCAAGATTTAAAACCCTCATTACTCACATTGCTCTGTTTAGATAGATTATATTCTGTCCCAGTTTGTCTACTTGTACTAGATCTCAGGGCACAGACAGCTATCCCCAAAATGGCAGGATACATTACAGTAATCATCCTTAATTCCCTATTAACTTAACCTGAAGCCCTGTATAACTTATACTGTTTTACCATGACTGATCGTAGTTGAATCTGGTTTGTTAGATTGCTGTTTGGTATCGACAGATCTTATTCAAATCTGTTATGATTGATAGTATCAAGTCTCAGAGTATAGGCAATTACACTAAAAATGACAAGATATACTACAATACCCATTCTTGTTTGATTATTACCTGATTTTGAAGTTTTACACTATCTACAATGTTTTGTTTTTATTAATATTGTTACGTACTGCTATATTCAATTATACTATGCCTGATGATATAGACAACTTATTGAAGATAACAAGAGACAACACAGTAACCATTGTACTGTGGTTTTATGACTTTTTCATTCCATGTGTTTATAGAAATATGTTTTGTTTTGTCTTGCTTTGTTTTGTTTCTTCTAATACAGAAAGGATAGAAATGTATGTAGAGACTGATGCGTGCATAGAACCTATAAACAGTTTATGAGAACTGATCTTATAATGCATGATGAAATGAACAGATGCTTTGAAGAAAAAGAGATATTACAGTACCCAGGGCTGATCCCGTAGTGTCATGATGTGAAATCCAGCAATACTATTATTCTTTGTTCATAGTGATTTTAGCTTGCTTTGGTTTGTTTAATCTTAACATACATGAAAATATAGATAACTGCATGTAAGTGTAAGTGTATAGGATTGTTAGCCATATTATTGAGTTTTTGTTTGATAGTTGAACAGAACTGTTTGCAGTCTTGCTGTTTGAATGTCCTCTTTGTATGCTTCACTTTTGTAACTTGAACAATTATTTGTAAAAGGACAATATGTAATTATCAACTACTGATTTCTTACTGTTTATTTTTTCTTTGAAATTATGTATTAGTTCTACCCTTAAAAAAAGACAATTGCTAACTATATTAGCGTGATTGTTTCTAATGATCAAATACTGAGTTGCTACTGCTTTTCGTAGACAAAGTATATTTTAGACTTTGATATTTGACTTGTTCAAAAAATCAAAATAGAATTGGTGTACATATTCACTCAGACATGAAAATAGTTGTTAGAAAATTTCTCAGAATATGATTATACTAGTACGTATTTTAGTTTTAAATGAATGTTGTGAGAACTTTCTTTGTTGTACTGAGAATGTTGAATGTAAATTATAGCCTGCTTATTGTTCATACTGAAATCAGTGTGATCAGAAAAGATAATTGCATGTAATCAGAGCTGCCAAGATAGTGGACTAAACAGGCATATACATATAACTAGTCAGAAATCTATTTTTCCAGTGTCATACATAACTGAATAATTTAATTAGTTTATTGTGTTGTTTTCTAGTTGAAATGAATCTGCATGACTATCTTACCTTGAATTTCTAGGTGTTTTGTACAATACATTTCTGTACAGTATAGTTGTTTGTAGAATAAGACCTTAATCGAACGTTAAATTCATTGTCTCTTGCATAGTGTGAACTCAGGTGAAACATTTTTATAAGCATGTTACATTATCATCTACAGAGATTTGTTGTTACAAAGGAACCTCACAATTTTTGCAAGTTACCCCCCAGGGTTAAATGTTCAGAAAGCCCGGCAAGCGCCAGGTTGGGAGTTCATCTCTGGTACAAAAGGACAGAAAGTAGAGTTGAGACCCAGCACACATAATTGTTATTATATACCCAGCTCTACTGAGAACAAACTCCTACATGACATTTTACCTAAGTTATTCTGTAATTACTATTTTTATTTTTGTGTCATTTTCCATATTCTTACCTTTATTAACATATAGCACATCACACTTTTGAGCCTATTATCTTGGAAAAAATTAGAAAACTGAAGTTGTAAACAACTTTAACCAGTAAAAATCTCCTTACTTAGAAACCAGAGCCTAGTGTAATCACTTTTGTTTGTATATAAAGTGGTTTTGTACTGCTAAGTTCCTGTTAAATTGTCCTGAGCATGCCTCTAAGTCTTGGGTCCTTATGTTGCAAGGAACAGCAGTACCTGAGTAAGCAAATAAACTAAGAACCTAATTTAAGAGTATACTTTTATAACAATTAGCGGAGTCTCAACCAATCATAGACTGCCAGTTGATCAGTCAAGGCCAATGTCGCGCTCCAACACTGAGCTGTTTAGAGCTGTTCATGTGTCTCAGTTTGTTTTTTGTCTGTATATCCTACCGGCCCATTTTGCCAAGCAGATGTCTCTGCTTGTCTTCTGGTTCTGAAGGCAACTGAATTTGTAAACAGTTCTCGGCTCAGCTCAGCACCAATAAATGTAATTTGTTTAAACTTTTTCTTTTAACCCTACTGGATGTCATGTGGCCTGCTTGTTTGTTTTCAGTGAGTGTGCTCTATTACTTTGTCAACTTTCTAGTTAGGGTTAGGCTATAAAGAGTCCAGTGTTAGCCTAGTGAGAAGTACTTTATATTGTTCTCCCAGGACTGTTGATCTGTCTGACACAATTTTGTTCTTTATTACTGATGCCTAGGTGCCTACATGAATTATTTGCTGCTTATGGTTAGCATCAAGATTATTTTAGTGGTTTAAAATATTCATTTACATTTGTATAATACCACTTTATAGCCTACAAAATAGCTTCATCTTTATGATCTTAATTGATCTCATAGCAAAGTTGAGGCATTTTAGAGAAGATAAGGTTAAAGTTAGAGATGCTGAGATGTTGGCTGAGCTCAAATAGTTAAAAAGAATACTTGGTCCAGTGCTTTTTCTTCAGTGCTCATTCTGGAGTGCATAACTGCCCCTTCCTAGGGAAGCTAGTGGTCTACGTTCTTTCTGTAGTCCACATTATTTCTTTCCTATCAGCGCTTTATAGAATGGGCTCCATTTTGCATCAGAATCTCCTGGAGCCAGAATCTTTTGGAGTCTTTAAAAGCATAAGTGTCTGGATTAGACTTCGGACCTACTGAGAGTATCTTGGATGGGTCCTGGAAATAAGCAATCATTATAGATAATTTGACTTTCAAGTTAACAGAGAACCTTCTTTACCCTGTCTCCCAAATAGAACTACAACATTTGGAAGTTTTTGTAAAGAATGACAAATAGTATTATCTTACATTGTTTTTAGGTCCTTTGAAACTTAAAAATATAAGAGTATTTTGAGTCAGATTAAAATGAGGGTTTCAAGGAGTATTTTAGGTGGGCTAAATTAATGTCGCATATATGCCTTTGTCCTGTGTTCCATGATTACAAAATCCTATTGGCTACATTTAACCATAGTTAACTATTACAAATTTTCCTAACTAATTCTTTAAGCTTTTATTGAAAAGTTCTTTCAAAGTGTTTTGTCAGCACTGCAAAGAAGGCTGGAAAATTTATTTTAAAAATTCCATAAATTATCAAAATTTATTGGCCTACTCCAGATGGACACAATTAAAGCTGTATAGCAGTTTGTTCTCAGCCACTAGCTGTGGTTTATTCCCTCCATCTTCAGGCATGAGGTAAGTAGATACAAGGTGATGACGATGCTGTATCTACCACTGTGTTCCTGTAGGCAAATCCCCTATTTTCATTCCATGCAGGTAGCTCTAGGTGCTCAGTGTTGTCAGTGTAGAGTGCTGGAAACTGCACAAGTACCTGGATGAAGGAAAACATGTAAATGATCAACATGTAATTTTTTGGACAGATTTTTGATATTTCCTGGGATCCATATCAGCCAAACAGAGTGGTTAGCTGTGGAGTAAAACATATAAAGGTAAAGTAGATTTTTTCTTTCTTTTTTTAATTTGGTATCTTGTGTGATAAGGATTTTAGGTGTTGATGTAGATTATCTGGTATCAAGAGACTGGCTTTATTTCTTTTTTCCTTACATTGAGAGCCCTGCTACCTGTTACTCTAGCTCTAAAGCAAGCTAGTGTCTGTGGGTAGGGCTCTTTCAGAAATGCAAGGTCATGACAATCAAGTTAAATGCCAGCAAGCATCTGAATAGGAAAGTTGATGTTAAATACTAAACTGAAAATTCATAACACTTCTACAGTTGCATGTTTTAAAACAGTTCTGCTTTCTATATTGCACATTAAAATTTTATATTATAATGAGTATTTACATATATTGCCATGTTTAAAATTTTTTGACATGTTAGTATGCTGGCTTAGAAGATATAGAAATGAGGTATACAAACACATAGAAATAAAGTGTGCGATACAGTCCTAGCTGAATTTTTATATTCTTGCAGTGCTGAGGTTTGACCCCAGACCTGTGCATGCTGTGGAAGTATTCTACCACAGAGCTACATCCATGGTCATGTCAGTAGTTTTTAAATGTCTATGTCTTTCTCTAGGCTATAGAGTCTTGAGTTTGTCTCTCGCAAGGTTTACATATACTTCTATGTTTTTATGCAGATAGCAAATTAATGCCTTCAATACCTCTTGTTCTCACGTAGCAAAAATTTTCTGAACTGTGAGAAATGGCCTAGGGTCTCCTGTCTGTAGTGTTTCAGATAATACACACTAAAATCCATTAGTAAGTGCAATGATTATGCTGTTAAATGGAACATGTGTGGATTTCGCTGGTACAAAAAATGGTGCATTTCCGTATGAAGGGAGTAGGTACTGTAGTATTCTTCTAACCAACACTTCCTGTTTCCCAATTCTTTTGTCATTCTAGTCTAACTTTATATAGTCTTGTTCATTATTCACACTTAATGACTAGATAAGGCACAGGCCATAAATAACTGACAAGAAATATGCAAGGCTTATCTAAAAAATATTGCAAAATTTTACAATGGAACAGAAAAGAAAACTAATGGAGAGAATCTTGATTCTGGACGTCTAACATTCATAGACATATCATTTCTCTCCAAATTATATTTGGTGCAAATCCTTTTTGTTTACCTGACAGAATTCTCTTTAAAGTTACTGTCTTGGTTACTTTCCTCATTGCTAAGACAAAATAGTCAACACCCAAAGTTAAAGGAAGAAGAGTTTATTTCAGCTTACAGTTTATAAGAATATAAATTTCAGCCCGTAGTTGACTGGTTCCCAGACCAGGGTGGTGTAGAATACACCAGGGGCATTGCAGAGGAAAAACAGTCGGTGACAAAGGAGGGCGGGCAGACAGCAGCCAGCAGTGAAGCAGCAAGCAGCGAGCCATGGCGGGAACCTGCTTTCTATCTCTTATATTCTATCGAGGCTGGCTGCTCACACTCGAATGCAGGATAGGGCATCCTTAATGCTGGCATCACACCCTTAATCCTAATGTCACACACTGTAGTTTCAAGCACCTCTAAAAAGCTCTGAAAATTGGTGTATGGTAAAACAAACCAACTTTATAAAAGATTGATAACTAGACCTTAATTTGCATGACAATTTATAATGTAATAATAGCATCTCTAACAGTGATTACTAAGACCATTTATTTGAGGATAAAAGTTTTCATGTCATACAATAAAATATATTCTAAATGAATCAAAAAGTCAAATGTTTAGAAAAACTGTATGCAAAAATATATAGGCAAATGTTTAACTGCTCTCAAGTTGGGGAAAGATCTTTCTAAATATAAAAAGCAAAGAAAGAAACCATAAGGAGTAAATTGGTACATTTAACTATATAAATATTAAAAACAGTCTATAAATCCCACCCTCCAAAAAACAAGAAAGCCACCAACCAGTGAGTGCAAATAACAATCATAGCAGATACTAGTGTGTCCTGGAGATGTGAAGACCACCAGCAAATCTGTAGAAGAGACGAAGAATATGAACAACTGGCCAAAGTAGAAGCATTGTTGACCAATAGACATATGAAAATGCTAAATCTTACTAATATGGGGTACAAAATCACAATTAAAACATACCCACTTTTGTCAAGGGCTCATTGAAGGATCATTCTCAAGCCTTGCCAGCAGAGGGGCAAATGAGCACGGTCTTCCAAGCAGAAATTTGGCAGTCTGTATTGGTAGCCTTAGAAATGCCAATTTCCTTTGACCTGGTAGTTTTCATATCTTAGAGTTTATCCTAAGGAAATTGTTAGCAACGTGAACCAAGAGCTGATTTGTTGCTTAGTGATTTAGCAATAGCAGGTAAAACCAAACAAAAGAGACCAGAGGCCACTCATCTGTCCCATGTGATTAAGTAAAATGTGGCCATACTCACATAATGAAATATAGTACAGTCATTATAAATTATGTTTTAGATGGTTACTGAATGCTAGTGGGAGATATTCAAGTTGTATGCTAAATGGCCAAGTCCAGTTTTCTTTGATTTTTTTTAAATAGATTTTTGTGTAGGCAGTACATTACAAAGGTATCCCCAAATGTTCAACATTTATGACTGACTTAAGACTTTTCCTTCACATGCTTTATTTTTAAGTTATTTTAGACAGAAATACTACTTTTAAAGTATAGGTTCTACTCAAAGGGCCAAAGTGACCTCCCAGCACCTTAGGGCTTCGTAAACATTGTGTAATCCTTGTGCAAGGCTTGATCTTTAATCCGAGGTGTTTGCTGAAATCCAGGTACCTTTTGCTTTTAGCTTCACTTGGAAACCCCTTCTCATAGGTTTCAAACACTGTACCTGAAAGATCAAAAACCTAATCACATTTAATAAACGCTTATTGAATTTGCCGTGTGTGAAGGAACAAACACAGAATTTTATTTTTAATTTTCTCGACGTTGAGTGAGCACAGTATTAAAATGGACCATTCTGCAAAATATGCAAAATCACAACCTTGAAAGGATAAAGAAGAGTTCCCAGTTGGTGAGAGGCATGCTGATTTGGGAAGGGGCTGCTGCTTTAGGGGCTGCCTGATGGATAGAGAGGTTGGGGAGGAAGGGGCTGGGAGGCAGCAGGGCCCCGGGAAGGGATTGTCCTTCACCCCAATATTGTAGGCAGACTTTGATCACCCAGATTTCAAGGCATGAAATACAATAGCCCTTAAGTAATAATTCCCTTGGCATTTGTTTTTAATGAATCAGGACATATATCAGCAACATGAGTTTTCAGTCAGCTGAAGACATGATGAAGCACTGAGATGCTTTTAGCCACCTAAAGAAACAGATGAGATTATAATAAGTTTAGGCTGTGGGGCCTTTCTGGAAGGCCGAGGCCTTGTGTTGGGGCCAGGATCCAAACTGCATATTCCATGATGAAGAAACTGAGTTTTTTTTTTTTTTTTATAACTTTGAATCAGGATTTTGTCATCTGCTTGACTCTAGGAAAGCTCTTTAATCTCATTGAGGCTGCTCCTCTTCCCCTTAAAATGTAAAAATTCTTCCTCTGGAATTCATTAAGAGTTACATAAACTACGGTGTGGAACCATTGGGGACACAATAACATTAACTTCTTTCCCTATTTGCAGCATCACAAAACTGGCGGCAACATGAGATTTAAACACAGCCTCTGTTTCCCTGTGTAGAGCTATTTGCACTGAAAAACTATCTCTTTAATGGTTTATCTTTATTTTTCTCACAAAAAGAATAATAACACATTTATTGGGCTCTAACTAGATTAGTTTCTTAATTGAAAGAATTCTCCACGTGCCTCTTTCTTTCCATCCTTGGTTAATTCTAACTTTTAATCAGTTCTAAAAGTAGAGAAAGAAAATCCTAGAACTTCACTTAAACACAAAAGCTACATATGTTGTTGCACTTGTTCCTTGCTTTAGCAGATTTCAGCATTATTTTCTAAGTAAAAACAAGCATCTTTATCCCAAATGGAAGTCTACAACGGTGTGCCCAGGTCTCATTTATTTATTTTGTTTTGGAGAAAATCCACCACAAATTTAAGCAGGCTTTAATAAGTTATTTTCCTCACCCATATCTTCTGTATCTGATTCCAGTATTTCCACACTTCTATGTTTCATCTAAAACTGGAGCTAATATAAGAAAAATGTTTTCAGTCACAGGTTGAATACAAAACCTTTACATTTCAAGTAAAACATTTTTAAATGAAATTTTTGTAGCAGGGTGGTATCCTTTCTGGTTTTTTAAGATTCCAGTGATTGCAAGTAGGCAAATTACAGTTATCTGAAATGAATACTTGCAAAACAGTAGCAGTTGTGCATCATATGCTCCGCTGGTTTTACAGAAAATGATCCTGTAGGTGTGTGTACACTGTGGAAATTTCTCCATCTCTAGTCACAGACTGAGGAAACCCTTTGGGAGTACCTAGGGCCAGATGAACTCCAAGGTACCTGCCAGTTCTACAAGATGTGCTTTATAATCTGTGAACAGAGGTTGGAGAGGATAAGCAGCATTTCTTCCTTTGATGTGGATTTAATGGTGCACTGCTACCCTAATATGTTACTGTCTTCCAAACAGAAAATGGTTCTCAAGAAGAGGTGATATTTTAGGTATTTGCCATTTTCAACAGAAAATTTCATATTTATCTGGACATCACATCTATATATTCCATTTAAAAGGATAATGTGACTATTTGGAATGTTTCTTGTGCACATTATACCAGTTAGATGATTAAAAAAAAAAAAAAACCTTTGTGTGAGCATACCTGAGGATTTCCATTTTTTTGTGTTCATTCATTTAGTAATGTTCAATTCATGCCAGAGATTCAATTCCAAAGTCACAGGACAAAAATTAAATTTCATTTAGTCCTCATACATGAGGAGGGTTGATGAGAGGGGACAATGTCTGCCTTTTGTCATCATGAACAGCAAGCTCTTTGGCGTATTTGTGAACCTGTTGCCACTGTGTATACCAAAGTTGCTACTTTCCTCCATTGAGAGGAGAGTCCTATGTTTCAAATGGCTGTCCACTTTACCAGGTCCTCACAATCAGTCCTGCAGAGCAGCTCTCTGCCATTGCCTGCCCAGGAGTATGGTCCCCACTGTCATGCGATCGTCCCAGGACTGCCTTTTCTAAGACCCAGCTACTCTGGGAGGACCACCATTTTCCTTCTTCTGCAGGCATAAAACATTAGACTTGCCGTGGATTTTTTTTGCCTTCATAGAGTCCTGTCACACAGAGCCGTCTGATCTTGCTCCCCTAAGCCACAAGCAGTTTCTTCCTCACCACTGGTCCAGATCTTATTTTTTGTTCATTGCAGTTAATATAATTTGCTTCTTTAGCTTCAAATGTCCTCACCCCTTGTGTATAATCTGAATATGTTGCCTTAAAATTCTTGCTCATGTCTCGTATGTATCTTTGTAGATTTAAAGTTCTTAAGGCAAAGATCAAAATCTCATTAGTTTTTCATATCTGACCGCCATTGAACTTACGCCTTCAGCAAGCTTCTTATATCTGCTTTCTCACTTCCAAATAGAAATAATGAAAGAATGTGCCTCAGCCTGTTCTCCAGGGTAAGGTGGAGGTCAAATAACATTTGCAAAGGACCGCTATAAACTGTGAGGTGCTACATAAATGACAACAGTTACTCGGTTCATACATTAAAAGCTGTCTGAGAGAAAAGTATCGGATTTCTGTATAATCATGGGAGTACCCTTGCTTTCTTCTATACAATAGCTCAGGCTTTAAAGTAGCTCAAGATTAATGCTTTTGGTCTTTCACATGAATTGTGCAACCAAAATAGAAAAGATTAGTCCATTATTTGACTATATAGAAATATCACATGTTTCGAAATGTGTTTCTGAGTAATATTTCAACTAGAAGTTTATGACACTTTTAGTTAGAAAGCAAATATTTGTATATGCACATTAAAAATAACTAGATGATCTATTGCTGGGTATGGTGGCACATACCTATAATCTTAGCTGCTTGAGAGGCTGAGGCAGGCAGATTGCAATTTGAGGCCAACCTAGATGCAGCAGCAAACAGAAACACTGAAACAACACCCAGGATTTGGAGGCAGATTTAAATAATGTCAGATGGGCTCTGATTAGGAATTATTGTTCCTCAAGATGTCAGGCCTCAAAGGCCCAGGAAAGGAGGCTCAAAGGGGTTGCGGTACAGAGGCAGAGTACTCGGCTGCCTTTGATTGTTTCTTACAGCGTGCGTCCTAGTGACCAGCTATGCATCACAGTGACCAGCCATTTCTAAGAGACACAAGCAAGCAGAACTGGACAGGAGCTATCACCCGGCAACTGAAGTGTACTGGTGGGGTGTGGCGGGGAGAGGGTTTTCTGCTACAGACAACAAGATCCCTGTCTTAAATAAACAGAGCTGAGAATGATGTAGTTCTGTGGGAGAGTTCCCTTGGGTGGATCTCCAGTATTACAAAAGCAACCCTCCCCAAATGATATTTCAATATGCTAACAGAAAGTTATAACTTCAGTTTCTCTTTGGATATTTGTGTTTCTAAGCCTTTCTATAATAAGCCTAAACTAGTTTTTTATAATTTGACAAATAAAGGCATGATTTATCTACTTTATATCTGAAAACATTGGCATTTACTAAATTGAAATTAAACATAAGCAGTTTTGAAATTTTAGAACTTGGAAAGTTACAATACCATTTAGGTATTTCTCATGCTCCTAAGAGGTAGGCTAAAATCTTTTGTGGTTCTCTGCTGTCACTGCAAAAGAACCCATTTGGGCTGGGTTCAGATATAGTAGATTATGTAAACTGTCCTGGAACATAATAAACCAATAATGCAATGCACCAGAATATTCTATTTTTGTATATATTTATCAATCACTTATTTTCTAGTTTTGGACACTATGTGGAAATGCCCTGACTGCAAAAAGAGGAATATTTGGCAAAACTGGAGATCTTCAGACCATCCTTTGCCTTGCATGTGCCAAAGAAGATATCACCTATTCTGGTGCTTTAAACGGTGACATCTATGTCTGGAAAGGGCTCAATTTAGTCCGCACCATTCAAGGAGCACACAGTGTAAGTACTGTTGGATAGGAACTCGAGAGACACCTTCAATTTTCAGGGTCACAAATTCCTGTGTTTTCCCCACTTACTCTATGGAATATTCCTGAAACAGTAGTGAAGATTTTTTGAAGTATTTTTGTTCCTCTAGAAAGAAACATATTTCCAAAAGCATAACTTAATCACCCTTTACTTCATTAATTGACTGACTGGGGGTAGTATTAAACAATGACAGCTTGACAGGAAATCAGAATTATTTCATCATGAGTTTCATCTTAGAGGCCAGCACTTCTCAGACTATAATGTGCCTGGGAACCTCCTTGGTCCTGTTCAAATGCACATCCTGCCTCGGTAGGTCTGGGATGCTGTTTCCTCCTGCCGCTCCTCTGTGGCCTGCAGGTTGAGAAGGAAGATTGTAGACAACTCTTGCTTTTCCTCTAGTTCACAAGACAGATATCTCACAAGACAGATGTCTCATTCTTCAGTAGTCACGTGCAGAAATTTGTGATTTCCATATCTGCTTTTAAGGACGGTATTCTCTTTTTTTCTGCAATCTGTTATTAAGGAGCACTAGAACTTACTTGCTTTGGAGGTTATTACAGTTACTTTTTACTGTAGCTTGGATGAAGAGTATCATAAATGACTACTTGATCTATTGTCAGAATTTCAATAGAAAACAAGGTGTCCATTTTTTTCTACTTTTTTAAAAATCAAGATTCATCTATGGTGACTCTTTACAGTGACTGAGGCATTGTGTATTATCTGTTTTCATCAACAGGCTGGAATCTTCAGTATGTATGCTTGTGAAGAAGGCTTTGCCACTGGTGGGCGAGATGGTTGTATACGATTGTGGGACATGGATTTTAAACCAATAACCAAAATTGATCTCAGGGAGACAGAACAAGGATATAAAGGTAATGGGTGAAGAAATAATTCTAAGAATCAACAAATGATGTTAAATTAAAAAACTCGTGCACACCAAAGGTAACACAAAGTAAAGAAACACTATACAGAATGGAAAAACACTTTTGCTAGCTGTTCTTCAGAGACTGATATCTAGAATATATAAAGAACTCTAGAATTAGGCACCCCACTACCAGTGAAAAAATGGGCATTTGGAATTCACAGACATTTTTCAAAAGAAGTATAGATAACCGGTAAGTACATGAAAACATCTTTGGCCATTAGGGAAATACACTGAGATTGTATTTTATTCTGTAATAGCTGTTATCAAGGACTCAAAGGACAAATAAGAGGAAAGGAACACTTCACATTATTGGTGGGAATGTAAACTAATACAACCACTGTAGAAATCAATATGAAGACCTCTCAAAAACCATAATGAGAAATTCCATATGACTGAGCTCTACCTCTCCTGAGTATGTTTCTGAAAGAGTTAAAGTCATCATAATACAATGATAGGTACATGCCCATATTTAGAACACAACAGTTCACAATAGCTAAATAATGGAAACAGTTTAAAGGCCCATCAATAGAGAGAGAAATGGATAAAGAAAATATGGTGTGTATATATACACAAGGAAGTATTAACCAGGAAGAAGAATAAGTTTGAGTCATTTGTAGTAAGACTACACTGTTAAGGGGCTGGGGATTTAGCTCAGCGGCATAAGCGCCTGCCTTGTAAGCAGACAGTCATGAATTTGATCCCCGGTACCAATAAAAAGGAAAAAGACAAAAAAAAAAGACTACATTGTTAAGTGAAGCAAATCAGAAACAGAAGGTTAAAGATCACAAGGTTTCTCTTATATGAGACACCCCAAAACCCCAAAATATAAATAATTGAAAGAGAAAAATGAAGGAGACATGATAGGAAATAGGGAAAAAGACTTTTTGGAGATGAAGAGAGAGGTTCTGGAGAAGGAGGAGAATGAGATAAAACAGATAACCACTGTAGGGCCAGGGATATAGCCTGGCGGCTTAACAGTTGCCAGGGAAACATGAGGCTATGAGTTCGATTCCAGGTACCAAACACTAAAAAGTGATTTTATATTTATCTATCTCTCTTTATATAGAGATATATATTCCCAAAAATGAATGTAATTATTGTATATCACAAACATATACAAATAAAAATGAGATATAAAAATAAAGATACTAATACTTCCCTATAACTCTAAAAAGGGTAAATACCGTGTGTACTTCTGTGTTTCTGAAGTTGTGTATTTGTTTCTCCATACTTTATCTCACTCTATAAATGATTTAAGAAACAGTGCTTAAATATATTGAATACAAGATCAAAATTATGTTACAATTAAATGAATAGCTTTTTCCTAATTGGCACAAAGATACCTCATGTGCCAGCAATTGTCTTGCAGCAAAGATAGACAACATTATGGTAAGACTGCTGGGTTGTCTCTCAGGAGACGGGATTCTGAAGAATGAAACTAAACCATTCTAGGCAAGTTGGTCATTCTCAGCTCATCTGTGCCCAGCCTCTGAAGACACACAAATGACAGAAAAAAATGGGACAAATAAATTATTTGTTAAAATAACATTAAAAATGTGACAGCCAACATAGTAGCAGAAGTTAAGAACGTGGGCTTAGAGTTGGGGAGTTGGGGTTCAATTTCAAGTTTTAACTTATGATTTGAGAACTTGGTCAAATTTTTAAATATCTTTGACAGTCTATTCCTCCTCTTTATAATGAGGTAATCAAACTCAGTTATATGAGGACTGAATTCATTCAGTTATATGAGGACTGTCTGCTTACAGAATAAATCATGGTACATAGTTAGCACTAAGTTACTGTCAGCTATGATTACATTCTATAGTGTGTGAGGGTAGAAAACAAAATAGTTTCTGTATGTCTTCATAAATTCTCAGGATAAGCCTTTTTAAATTTAATTTTAAAGGAAATAAAGCAAATTGAAACAGTGATAAGATAGGAAATCTACAATAGTTACTGTATTACATGTTGTTGTCCTTGAATAGTTGCTTGCCTTTAGGTTTGGAAAGTCAAACAAACAATACAGTTCCTCCAAATCAGCTGGTTGCTCACAGGGTGGGGTGAGGATGGGGTGTTCTTTCTGGGCCTGCATGTGCTCAGCTCCAAGGCAGGGACTTGCTTCCATCCTGGTTTCTCCCCAATCTGTGCTCTGAAGGGCTCACAGGCAGGGGCTTAGCTTCCATCCTGGTTTCTCCCCATTCTGTGCTCCAGCTGGCTCACAGGCAGGGGCTTAGCTTCCTGCTTCTCCCAGATAAGCCTACTTTTACAGATAAGGGATTTGAGGCTCAGAGGGATTAAAGTAGAAAATGTAAATAAGAAGGTTGTGATAAAGTCACAGTGGTTTTTTGATGGTTTTGTTTTTATTTATTTTTGGTACCAGGAACCCACAGGACTTTGCACTTGCAGGTGTGGGGCTGCTGAGCTATATCCTTGGCAGTCACAGTGTTTTCAGTGCTCTTAAGTTCAGGTGGGCCCCAGACATGGCTTCACGCTCTCTATGCCAGTACTGAGGGAAAGATGCTGTGTACCATGTGTCTCAGGGCAAAACTTACCACTGGGTCAAAACTTCCCAGTGTGTGTGAGTGATGTCAGACGTTTTCTGAGAGTTCCTGTAAAGGACCTTGCGATGGGAGGCCCATAGCCCTCAAAAGTCCCTCCTTTGTCATGAGGCCCCTCTGTGTGTGCTGATGGCAGAGCCACTGCGGATGCTGTGTGGAACAGGACTTTGGTCCTTGGAGGGCCCTGCCTTCCAGGGTAGATTGTAGGGAAGTGAAAGAAGAAACCATCCTCCTGGAGTAGGAGGATGGTTAAACTTCAGTTTGCAAGTGAATCAGCTTAGAGATGGGTCATGTTCTCATCATCAAGATGCAGTAAAGCCAGGGCTGATTCTCGGGGCTCTTCCCTTCCCAAGACTTCATCAAAGAAGTTATAATCATAACATAATTATAATCCCATAATCAGAAGGACCACTCCTCAACCAAGGAAATTACAGCACTTTATGTTGGGGACTTGGACATCTTTTGTGAGCTACCAGATTCTTTGAACAAATTTTCTCTAGTGACAAGTATATATAATAATGGAAATCAACTGCCTAATTTACCTAGGATCTGCGATTCTAAAACCAAAAAGTTTAGAGTCAAATGTTTTTTGGTGACTAATTTGATAGCAAAATCTAACCTGAACCAGTAGGAGGCTATTTAGTGTATGTGTCTTGGTTACTTTTCTCTCATTGCTGGGAAAAATGCCCACCATCCCCAGTTAAGGAAGGCAAGATTTATTTAGCTCAGTTTGTGGAAGTTTCAATCCATAATCAGCTGGCTCCAAAGTATGGTGACATGGCACAGGGACAACACTTCAAGGAGACAGAAGGCAGCAAATGCAACAAGAGCAAATTCGGGAAGAGGGAGCAGGTATCATCCCCTAGGCTAAGTGCGACATTGGCGTCATCTCTGTACCCTGCTTTTGCTAAGGCTCAGAATAGTTACAAAGTGAGAATCCTGACCCCCTGCTGAGTCCCTTCTTTAAACTTCTCAAGTTGAAACACTGTATCAAACATTACAGCAGTTTCCTTCCTAGATATCCTACATGTCACTACAGAAATGCCTAAGTCAGGATATTACAACAGATCCCATTGGACGTGCTAAAAATCCAAAACCCAAACTTTTCTGAATTACAAATTTCACCTGGCACCAAACAGTTTCAGACATATGATGAAGTGATGAACTGCCAACGTATGTTTTAATGAATATCAGATTCTGGAAATTTGAAACCGGGAAAGACATTGAATGTCAGTGAAAGGAACTCTCGCCTTATGAATGAGTACAACTAAGCTTAGGGTCATTAGCATCAAATTAATTGTAGCTTTAGAGCTATAATTCATATCTCACACAACACTTAATAAAGATGCATTTCGAACCTGATCATTTTAAAAACAAATTTATGATCAGGTAAAATGTGAAGTTTTGAGTGACTTATAGTAGTGGCAAAGGAAGCTAAAAATAGTTCTCTGAGCAAGCAAACCAGAATGCATTACTTCTATGGTGATAGAGTATTTTTGAGTTAATGGTTATAAATGATTGAAAGGACACAGTAATTATTCACATACTATAAGATGTATTAACCACTCAGTAAACATTTATTAAGCATTTACTAGGGGCCAGATCATACCAAGTAACTGAATTGGCAGTTTAAAAGAATTGTCTTTGTCATTGTGTATATATTGTTAGGGTGTTGCATGTTGGTTTTAGTTACAAACACATACTTACTGAATTGTTACCGTGTCTAATCAACTATGTACTCTTTGAGTCCAGAGAGATTGTGCATTAGGCCATCTATGGGCAAGAGGTAGAAACTGGAGTCCCAAGGACACAGTTTGCCCTTTCTTGTCACCATTGCCCCCTCTCTGGTCCAGGCCAACATCATCTGTCACATAGATTACAACAGTTGCTTTATAGTTTGTGTCTCCCCCTTTCCCATTGTTTTCTGCATGGCAGCATGAGCAGATCACGTTATTCCTTTTCTCAAAACCCTGAGGACTCCCGATTTTCCCCAAAGTATTTGGTGCCTCTTGAACAGGGCTGGCTCCGTGCACTCCCAGGCTCCCACCCTTCCTTGCCCTTGGAGGCTCCTTCTGTTCCCCCAAGAACCTGCAGGACTCCTTCCCACCTTTCCTTCTGGCCTTTGCACCTGTAAAGCCTGCCTGATAACTGGTCTTGCAATTGCAGGCTCCTCTGCCTTTAACACCGTGGGCCCAACACATGGCTTCTCCCAGTTCTGCTTTTCACCTTGTAACATTTGGTGTTACCAACCCATGTGCTGTGCTCCTGGCCTTGTCTGTTTCCACAAAGGTGTAGGCTCTTCTCTCCTGCCTCCTGAGCACTTATTACAATGCCTGGCACATGCTGGAGCCCTGGAAATAGCTGTCAGATGAATGAAGAGGACATTCTG